TTGAATCAAAATTCCCAACATTTCATGAAAATGAAATTTTTTTTTTTTCGAAATACATTTAAAATGCAAAAAATGGTAAAATTTTTTTTTTGTCCATGATTGGCATGCAATTTTTTTTTTACAGTGTTGCAATATATTCTTTTTGTACTATAAATTCTTTTTGTACTATATATTCTTTTTGTACTACTACGTCTAATTATATAAGAAGGCTCCATCTGGGGCTGTTTTTTAAAAAGTCCTTCACTCATAAAACAAAAAAAAAAAATTCATAAATTTAATAGTAACTAACTCTATAAAGATGGCCTATAAATTTGTTGAGAAAAAAGTTGGCATAATTGGATGTCCTTTCAACGGGGGGCAAGTGAGTATATATTAACTTTCATTTTATCTTTTAGTCAGTGAAAAGTTCTCAACCGGGGGGTCGTTATAAATCGAAAAAAAAAAAAAATTAAAAATTCAATTTGAAAAAAAAAAAAAAAAAAAAAAATTTTTTAACCGTACGATCAGCTTTAAATTTGCAGGTTAACATTTGTGTCACAAATATTACGTACAAGTATTACAAATATATTAGGCAGATCGAATCCAACATGTAAACAGTATATGTTTCGATTGTTTCGTCAAAACCCATATTTTTTGAAAAGTTATTTATTGATTCATTTACCATTTTATTTATTTGAATCATAATCAAATATATATATTTTTTAATTTTTTCATTTAATTAAATACTAATGTTGGCGAATAACGCGAAACTAATAAACATCAGGTTTATTGGATAGAATCATTTTCAGAAGTAATAAAGTAATAAAATACGTTTTATTTTTTTTTATTTTGCAATTAAATGAAGAACTGGTCCATAATATTAATGTGACGATAAATTTTAACTATATTCGTTAGGATTTTTCGAACTTCAATAAAATAATACACAAAGTATAAAGTATATTTTATGCTGACCAATTACAGTCTCTAAAATCAGTTTTTTTTTTGAGGATTGAAAAGAATTTTTTAAAAAAAAATTTACAGTTACTATATTAAAAGTAAATGAAAATAAATGTAACATTAACATTTTTAAAAAGCTTTTGCTATTTGAGAATTCTTATTATATTAAATGATTATAAATAATTGAGCATGTTATTATTAAATAGCATCGTACTTACTTTACCACAATTTTTTCTTTTTGTATAATTTTAGACTGATTTAATTTGGTATTACAAGCGGTGATGATGGTAGTGATTTCTCTTCAGTTCAATGCATCCCTAGTTGTTAAAAGAATTTATTCACAGTTATTAGATTTAAATTGAATCATGTAATGGTTTCTTTAACAAAAAATGTCATAAATGTCATGTATTATAAATAAGTAAAGCTCATAAAAACTTTGATAAATATTATTAATGATTGATTTATTTTTTATTTTTTTATTTGACTTATCATTATCAAAAAAAAAAAATTAGGTTATATTTATATAATTCGCTCATTGATGTTGATTAAAAAGTTTGGTAAAATTTCGTAATAATTAAAATCAAAACTAAAATATAATTTGGATATACTTATTTTATTATATGTTAAAATATAAATAAATACAATAAATTATTTAAATTACAAACTAAGAATCTTAAAAGATGTCATATCTTATTACTCTAGTCTTAGGTTTAAATAATTTATAATAAGAAAAATTCAGTTGTAAGAGTGTCTTTAAAATACATCTGTATCTAAATATCTAAATACATTATTTAAAAAAAAATTTAGTTAATAACTATTTAAAAGTCGAATAATATTTCAGCATTGATATAAAATAAATCCTTACTATCAGGAATTTCCAATTCATCTTGTTCTTCTGAATGAAGATTAGGATTATTGTGTACTTCATCCTCATCTATATTAAAATAAAAATTAGAATTAAAAAAAAAAAATTGCGATTACAAATAATTATTCTACATACCAATATCAATATTCTTTCTTTGTTGTTGCATTATTTCTTCTCTATAATAATTACTATTTTGAACATCTAGTAAAAGATTTAATGAAATTAGTTATGTTTAATATTAAGTAGTTAAATTAACATATTAATTATTACTTTTACTTGCCATTTTTTGAATTCTTTTTAAATATTTTAAATAACTTTTTACTATTAACTAAATAATTTAATAAAATTTATTATTTATTTAAAATAATAAAAATATATATTAGTCTAATTACCTTTAAATATACTACTTATTCTTGACGTTCTATTCTTCTGATTATTTAATTTATCAAAATCATCAACTAGAAAACATGAATTTAATTAGTTAACGCACATGATTTAATATTAATCTAATAATACTTACTGTTATCAGGAATGTAAAAGTTATAAGATTTACTATGGAATGCTATAAGATCAAAAATAATTAATTATCTTTATTATTTATAAAATAAGAAAATTTAAAAATAACTTGTTTATTATTACCTTCTAGTTCTTCTGTTATTTTAATGAAAAATAATGTCATTAATACACACATTATTCTCTTTAAACAATTAACTAGGAAAGTAAATAACTAGTATATTACCTTCTGTTGCATTCCTTGGTTCGGGAAGATTTTCAAAATGATAAACTTTACTTGTACTATTCGTATAATTTTTTAGACTATCGATATTACTATTTATTTCTAAACTATTATTTTCTTGTGATCGAATTAATGATTCATTTGATTTACTCTGATAAAAGTAATTGAGATCATTTATTTTTTTGCGAAGTGTATTAATATCAGGTCTTTTTGATGGATCAGCATCCCAGCATTGCATTATCAAATTTTTATATTCTAAAGGAGTTCCTGATACAATTTTTGGTCTTATACCATTAACAATATTCATAGCAAGATCATAATTATGTTCATAATTAATAAATGGTGGTTGACCAGAAGAAATTTCCCACATAATCATTGCAATACTATAAATATCAGATTTAAAAGTCTGTTCTTTTCCAATAATAACCTCAGGTGCTACATAAGGAAGATTTCCATATATACTTTTTAATGGTTTATCTGCAGGTCCACAAAATCCAAGATCACTAATACTAAAGTAACTCGTAAATAATATATTTCCAGAATGCAAATCCCTATGAATTGCATTTTCATCATGAATTCTGCCAAGTGACAAAATTATATTAGCAGCAATTTGAATTCTTTCTTTCCATGTAAGTTGATGATGATTTTGTTGTAAATATTTTCTTAAATCTATATCCTTTTTATCCATTACGAGCATATAACTTCCATTTGATGGATCTTTTGTTAATCCATAACATTGGACAATTTCTCCCCATTTATTGCTTATATTTAAATGGGACTTAGCCTAAAATAAAATAAATGTATTAAAATTTTAAAGTACAAAGTTTATTTATTACCTTATTAAAATATCTGGATTACAAACCTCTTCAAACCAGCTTTGATTTGCATTTTCAACATTTTCTGATCTTTTAAGTACTACATACTGCTCTCTAAATCTTTTGAATTGTTGTTCTTCAGAATCCCATTCATCATAACTTCCATTAATCCATTCTGCTGTATAAATTTCAGAACATCCGCCCTCTGTTAGATATTCAATATTTCGAAATTCATTATATGGAATCCATTCTGGTATTTTATTTGGACAAATTGCTTTCACCTGACATTCTTTTATTAAATTATCAATATCATCATTTCCAGATGTCCAATTTGAAAAATTCGCTTTTAAATAATTCCGAACACAATGCTCACAAAACAATGTAGCTAAACATTCTTTGTTACAAATTTCACAAATTCTTTTTGTTCCTTCATTAATCCTAATTTTATCTTCATCATACCACCTAGTTAGTATTTTTATTGCTTCGGATTTTTCATTTTCTGTAAGTGATTCATCAACAAGAATTGTTTGTTTTTTAAATTCATATTGTTTATGTATATTATTGTAAATATTAAAATCTATTAAAGCAATTACTCTGTGAATTGCAACATAAACTAATTCTACACGAATATCAGACATGCTTAAATTTTATTAAAGTAATAAATTTGAAAAAAGAAAAAAAAAATTCAGAACGAAGTTGGTGTCATAACGTCATAACACTTGACTTATCAAGTTAGTTGTATAACCTAATGAACGTTACATACTGTAAATCAAAAAATGTACTACCCGAGCCTGTGGTACTGATTTACATAATAGTATTTCATTTGAATAAGGTTTATTAGATTTAATAAATTAAGAAATCTCATTGTAATAATTATAATGTTCGTTTCCAGTATGAGGATACTACTGTATTTACATGATCAAGTAATAATTTTCATAAGATTTTATTATAATATGAAATAACATATTAAATAATTCTAAATACTGTTTATATATAGATTAACATAATATATGAACTTGATAAATAATTAGATCAAATTAAACAAGCAATTTAACAACAAAGTAATATAAAACATAAATTTGGTTTAATTTCTTGAATGTAAATTTTTTTTTTTTTTCCAGAAAAGGTTAAACTGAAGCGTTATCTAGATAATTAAATTCTCTTTTACGTTAATTAAGATAAATTGATTATGTACATGAATATTTGGATAAAAATTAGAGAAAATATTATAACAATAAATAATTACAAACAACTTTTTATAAATTTTATTGTTCGTTTATAAACTACGCAGTTTAGTTATGTGTAAAAATTTTATAAGTTGAAAGTGTAAAAGTGTAACAAATCAAATGATTTGTATTGTACACAATTCTGTATTTAGTTAATTATAAATAACTAAAAGGATAAATGACATGCTGTGTAATTCCGTGTAATGTTTCATGATTGCTTTAGCCCATTTTTTTTTATGCTGATCTATCATCAAGTCTTACCACTTTTTGCCGTTAAAACTCGTACAATAATGATTTTAACTTAAAAATAAATAAAAAAAAAAATTAATAAAATAATTTTAGGAAAATGATAATGTTTAAATAATGTTTCATTAAGCATATCCTTATAAAGGAATTTTATTGAATTATTTTCGTAATTGGGATCTGCGGCATAAAAAAAGCCCTTATAATAAGGTTCCTTGATTGATTACATCATAATTAGCTTAATAAATTTCAACAAATTTTATATGATGTCTATTTAAATATTATAATTATAACGGAAGAAACAAATATTAAAAGGAAAATAAATATTTTTTTTTAATAAAAAATATGTTTATAGTTTGATTTAATAGCACTATAAAGTGGTTTGAAACAAACCGTTACATGTCATAAATATTTTTTTTTTTTTTTTTTTTTTTTAAAAAAAAATTTATTATTGAATAAAATAATAAAATACCTATTTTTTATATATATTCTTTCAATTTCTAATTTTCTACATAAAGCAAGTTCAAATATTTTTCCTTTTTAAATACGCAAATCAAGTTCATAATAATGTTGATTCATTTTTTCATATTCAGGATTATTAGGAATTAATTGTATTGAATCATCTTATTGAGATTCATAAGATTCAATAAAATTTACAAGTTTATTAAGTTGTTTAAGCATATTTTAATACTGCCCAAATTAATGTTTTTCTTATTTTATGATTATTATATTTTTTAATTTCATTCCTAAAATATATAATATTTATTATAAATAATTATTTAGAATATTTATAAAAATAAAATAAAAAAAATTTAATTAACTTACTCAATTTTTTCTTTTAATATTATTTTTTCAAAAATAATATCAGAAGAAACAGTAGGTAATGGTTGATATTTTGGATTAATTAAATCATCTTTAATTATTTTCCAAGATGATTTAATAGTACCTAAAAAATAATTTTGCAATTCTAATTTTTTTAAATCTTTTTATGAAATTCTTTTAATTCTAAAGCATGCTGATAGTGTTTAATTAATGTTTGACTTAAAAATCAATTATAATAAAGTTATTAATATATAAAAATACATACAAATTATAAATAATTACCAATTTTTTGAATTCTGGTTTCTGCAAAATGATCTAATACTAATGAAAGTATAAATTTATGGTGACTTGAAGTAGTAGTTTTTGTATCTTTCCAAATATGACCAAAGTCTTTCTAACCATTTACCATCAGTAAGACAAAATCCTTCTCTTTTCTTGGATGATAAATACATGACAAGAAGCTTCATGAGTATAAGCATGAAATACAGAAACTGCATACCATACATCTTTAACTTTTAATTGTAAAGATGTTTCATTTAGTTTGTTCTATTTATATTAAAAATATTAATAATAAATTAATTATATATTTATATTAATTATTAATATTATAAATAATTTACCTTTACATTAATTTGTGATCCAAATTTATCTAAAATATTATTTAATAAAAATAAAGAATATACTAATCTAATAATAATAATAATTTAATAATATAACAATAATTAGTAATATAATATTTATTTAAAAATAAATACCTTTCTCCTGTTTTTATATTTAAAAATTTCACTGGAATTCCATGTTTACATGTTGTACCAACAACTCCACTAATATCCAATGCATTTGAAAGTATTTTAGAATTTTTTTCATTTACTGCCTTAAAAGCTTTCATACATGGATCATTTTCCTAACATATTATTAATTATTTAATATTTAATTTAAATTCAACTTTTTAATATTTATTAATCAAAATTTACCTCAGAACTTTCTTTTTGTAAATATTGTAAATATAATTTTTCAAAATCAAAAAATTTATCATCCATAAAATATTTAGAATAATAATCTTCTTCCGTATTATCATTTCCACAAATTTTTAATCATCGTAATTGAAAACATCCATCAAAACATACAGTTAATCTATTTAAAGAACCTGAATTACATGAATTTTTCTAAATAGAATAAAGATATAAGATAAGTATATATAAATATTTATATTAAGAATATCAATAAATACTTACTAATGGACATGCAGGACAGAAACTTTAGGTTTCTTAACTACTTGTTCTGTTAAAAACTTAATTTTTTCTTTTTTAACTAATATATATTGTCTAAAAGTAGACATAAAAGGTTTAAAAATATTTTTATGACTACTAAGCTATAAATTTTAATTAAATATCATTAATAATTAAATATTGTTAAAAATGTTAAAATTCATAAAATATAATTATTTTATACATACTTTATTATCATGAATATGTCTTAAAGCAATACAAAAACTTTCATATGATATTTGTGCTAATAGAAGTTATTCTGCAAATTCTAATAATTTTATTTCAAATGCAATTAATGGATTTATAGGAGAAGCAGGAAATATTTCTCTGCGTGCTAACGCAACTGCAAAATTAGACTGTTCACAATTACACAAATTCAATTGTTTTTTAATTTCATCTAGAAACAAACAAATAAATAAATTAATAAAATTTTTATAAATATTTACAAATAACAATCAACTTACGTTCAAAATAAATACAATCGACTGTAATTATTTTAAATCGTTCATTATTATAACATTTTCCATAAAGACATATTTTCTTCAACATTACAATGACTTTCCAACTCAATTAACACTTCTTTAAGTTGAACACGAATTGACTGCCAGGATTTATTCAAACGAGTTTGCTTTTCTCTATAAATACTATCATCACTATCAACAGGTATACTTTCATCAATAAAATCATCATTAACATCATCATCATCACTTTGTTGCAAATTAAATTCGGTAGGATTTGAATCATAAGTTTGTTCAAGAAATATAGGTTGAAGTATTGGAATTTCAGTATTGCGAGTAAATGCTCGTGATTTACTATATTTGATACCACGAGGTTTTATAGTACGAGGCATTTTGCCAAAAAAGTTTTTGATTCAGTCTCCTAAATGAAAGAAAATGTTTAACATACTTAAAAAACAACAAAGAATTTCTTTTCCGTCAGAAAAGTGAAAAAACTTACCAACTAATGTCAATAAAAATTTTGTTAAAGAAAGAATAGTATATATTAAAAAAACCAGAAATTCCTAAGTTGTTTTATTCTCAGTTTTTTCAACGTTTAATTAAGTGCCGAAGTGTAGGTTCCGCAACATTTTTTTCGTTAGTGCCGTTGAGGCGTTGATAATTAATTGCACGTGATTAGCTCAAAATCACATAAGGGGCAGCTGCGGGCAGGCAGCTGCACAATACGGACGTGCGAAGCGTATACCCCATGGAACAGGTTAAGACGCGTTGTTTATATTTATCTCTATTTGTCACACATTTCCGGTTACACCACGGGTACGGGATTACTTACTGCGCTTTATTAATTTATTTTTAATTAGTCAAATACGGTCAATCGGAGAATCAAAATCTAATGAGTAATGATAAAACTGTATTAATCATTTTTTTTTTCATATACTTTTTTTTATTATACTTATTCAATTCTGTAATTCTGTCGGAGTATCTATATCATTTGCTGTATTACATCAATAAGCCACAAAAAGTTTATATCACGATGATATATAAAGTATATATATTTAGACTTCTCTCAAACTTTCTCAAATTTTCTTGAAACTTTACTAAAAAACTTATCGCTTTTACAGTAACGAAATGATATTCTCACTTAATTGTTTGATTTCGGGACAAACTTCTGATGATATTATCAATGTGCCTATTGGCAATTTTTTCCTCAGCAATGAAAATATCAAGGTCGAATTTACTGATATGACCGTTGCAAACTTAAAAGAGCAACTTTCTCGCACAAAAGAAGTTATAGGAGCTAAAATAACCAAAATGAATCTTTGGAAAGTCGAACTCAAGACTTATGAAGTTAATAACCTTTCTGCAGAAGATATTGAAAGTCATGAAAGGAGCGAGAAGATGGAAGCTACGTCGAATCTCAATGAATATTATAACAATAACGAAGACAAAAATCCTAAAAAGGGGCACATTCATATCTTCATAGTCCCCACCGACACTGGTAAGTGTCTCCCAATGCTTTACCTCTCGAACAAGAAATTTGCAATTGAAACAATGATACATATTTCGTCATTTATTAATAATATCGAATATGCTTTCTGACTGTTATTACAACCATTAGAGCTCGGGAGGAAAAGGAGGAACACGGAAGTAGAAAGTAAGAAATGTTCTCGTTTCTATATATAACTATATATTTCATTCTATCATTCTTACAAATGTTTCTCTACAGCAACAAGTGGAAAAAGAAAAAAATGGATGGTTAATAGTACCATTTCAAATGAAGAGAGTAAATTAGTATACTTTATTGATCCAACGGAATCGAGTGGACCACTTTATGCCATGATTCAGAAAGGAGAATTTGTAGCTTTATATGGTGCACGGGCTTCCGGGAAGTCTACACGAGTGGATCAAGCTAAGATTGAGTTGGAAAGCAAAGGCTATGTTTGCATTTAGTAGGTTCTATTTAGTAAATTGCATTCAGTATAACTGTTGCTTACATTTTTTTTTCTTCGGAACAGTATATCTTTTGAAGGAGTAAATATGGATACCATAGACACATTCTGGACATGCGTAGGCGTTGAACTATATATTGATTCTCCCCAATACTTTGGATTAAACGATGTCAAATCTGCTAGTGATTTCAAGCTAAAGTTTCGGAAAGAACAATGGAATGATAAACAAGTTGTTCTCTTCATTGACGAGTATGATGAATTATTTGGAGCAAAAGATGACGTTAAATCCTCATTCCTTGCAGCAATTCGTAGCATTAAAAATACAAAAAGATCCTATGCACTCTGGTCTTCTGTAGTCATCGGTCCTCTAAGTATTTTATTTCTGAAATCAGACAAAATAAATGTTTCTCCATTCAACGTTAAGGAGCCATTTAGGAACCCAAATTTCACTCTGGCACAAGTGGAGTCATTATATAAAGCTTATGGGAAAGACGCCAAATTGACCATTGCTCCGGAGGTCATTAAGGATATTTATGAACGGACGAACGGGTATGTGAAGCTGACCGGAAGTAATATGAAATCAATACTAAATTTGTTTTCTGTTATTTGACAGGCATGCTGGCCTCGTCTGCCTTTGTGGCAAGGCTATCAGTTATTCCTTAGTAAAGAAACTTGACGAAGGAAGAAGTCTTGATTTCAAACTCTGGTCAAAGTTTCTCGTCAGTTCACTAATGTTTAATAGTATGATTATGTATCTCACATTTAAAAAGATGGTTGACGATCTCCTTAGGCCTGATGCTAAGGAAGCTTTAGACTTTCTCCGATCTGTATTTATAGGATTTTTCGATTTTATACAAATTAATATAATTAATGAAAGAAGACTAGCAGATTTCTTAACTGTCGAGGGGGTGCTCATAAGGAAAAGTGATACCGAGTTTAGTTACAGAATGTCGTCTATTTTTGTTGATGGATTAGTTCGGCGAGAGGTTATTCCTTTATTGTACAAATCTTGCCCAACCATTCCAGTTCCCAGAATTGATGAAGACTACTTGAAAGTCCTTGATGTTTTAATAGAGTCCATCCGTTGTTTTGATAAAACTATTATTTGTAATGCTTTCAAGAGATCATTTAAAACTGCGCTTGTGAAAGTAGGTGGTCGTCAAAATCGGATGGTTCCTCGAGAGAGTGTTTACGATACAGAACTAAATAGAATCCTGGTGAACTGGATCGTCAATGAATGTAACTTCGAGGTCACTGGACAGTGGCATCTAATAGATCACGCTGATAATGACGAAAAAGACAAACATTATTATAGTGATATAACTATTATGACTCCATGTTAAACAGTTGTTCTCGAGCTTTTAGCATCTGCGAATAAAAAAGAACTTAACGAACACTTTGAAAGGGTGCTCAATTATGCAGAAATGCTATCAGCAGATGACAAATGGATAGTAAATTTTACGTGTGAGGATGATGCAACAAAGAATCCCCATTGGCCACCCAATGATAGAAAGTTTGAGAGTGTGAATGTTGTTCATTTTTATCACGACCGAAAGTTTGAAAATGTACGAATGAGCGCCCGATATATATCTGACTCTGGTACTTTTAGTTATATCACAGATCAAGTTATTCAATTACAATAATTAACTTGATTAGCTTATTTTTAATATTTGAGTTGTATTGTAAAATATAGAAAATGTAGAAAATATTTCTTTGTGTTATATATATTACAATTAAATTAGCATTATGCTCATTTTCCCATTTATTGTATTGCGATTCAAAAAAGTGAATACAATATAAAAGTCTTTGCATGTTTCAAAAATTTCGAAGCCCAGATCTATTAATAAATGATTTTCAGAAATATATGAACGCTTTCAAGGTAGGCCAATAATGCGGGATATCATTTCTTTGTTCTCTTACATTTCCGGTGCTATTTTTTCTGGCTACGAGATTACGAGATTCTCACCCATTCATATTTACAAAATTTTCGTCTATGCGAGACCACGATACTGATATGTACTAAAATGTTTCTAATTATTTATGAATCATATATTCGTGACGATAGAAAATCACGTGTTCTGGACAAATTTCGGAAATGAAAACCGATGTGTAAAAATTTATCGAAACTATATGTGGACACTGGACACCTATAAATTTTACTATTAAAGATTTTTCTGATTAAACTATTGATTAACTCCGTCTTACAATAAATTCCATACTAAATTGATATGTTTTTATACTTCCATAAAATTAAACTCTTCCTATCATTTACACCCCAGATTCCATAAAAATATTTTAAATCACTATCTCTTTCATGTAACAGTTTGTTTTTTCCAAAAAAGATTTTTCGTGTCTCGAAAATAAATAAAGTAACACTTTCAGACATATCTACACAAGGAAAAAATTTTCTCCTTAGTGTTTTTCAAAAAAAGTGAAACTGCTACATTATCTTTCAAATGCTAATTAAATACAAAGTTATCAAATTTTCGGATTTTTTAACGGTAATGCCTCCAATTCCACGACGTGATCGCCAATTGAAAAAGGCAGGTGAAATACGAGCCCAAAATTAAAAGAGAATAAAGACAATGATTTATTTATCATTATATTATTGTATGTATGTATAGTATAATAATAATAGGATTAGGAAAATATAATTGAACCAATATTATTATTGTTGCAATGTAAATTTATAGGGTCCACATATGGTTTTGATTTAATTAGTTAACCGCACACCCCAATGCAACGCGGAGTGCATTAGAGAATTGTCCCTTATGTAAAAGCAATATGTCAGTTCGTATTGTTCTTAAATAAAAACTAATTTTTAGTGATTTTTACATAGAATATGAATATTAATTAATTTAAATGAAATAATTTTTCATTTTGTTTTTAAATGAAGATATCTATTATTATTTATTAACACTTATGTGTGTTTTTAGGAAGATAGTTTAAAAAGCAAAGTTTTTATTTTTTGGGCAAAATAGCATGGGCTAATGAGGGACTTCAAGAACTGATAACTTTTGGTAAGATATACAATACTATTACCGCATATTGAGTAAAACTTACATATGTTATTGTTACGGGGATCTGCGCCACATCGAAGGTTAGTATAAGATTCCCGTGATCAGCAGTGTAACAGTGTAATTTATACTTTGTATAATTTATACTAAATTTAATTTACACCCAGTGTAATTTATACGAAGTTTAACTTACACGTAGTATAACTTATACCAAAATTTCAAACAATATTTATAGAATGGGCGAACAGTGAGGAAGAAGGTTTTATTGAGTATTAATTTTTAGTTTAGTTTTATCAGTAATATTGCAGATCGCCAGTGGAGGCGGCAATATTCTATCTTTTTATTATGATTTATGAATTAGTATTTATTTATTTGTATTGTTTCATTATTTTAATTTATTATTTATTTTGAATAAACTTATACTTTAAAAATTAAACATATAAACTTTAAATCCACATATACACTTTATTTTACAATAAACACAACACGAATTTCTGTTACTATTACGTGATCCTGACGCAATTTGATAGTAACAATTTGGTGCCTTCTGCCAGAAATCTGATACTCACCCAAGTTATATGATAAATTATAATCTATATTTTGAACAAATTGGTATACACGAATATTAGCATAGACAATTAAATAATAACATACAGCAAATATTATACTATCATAGGTGATTGGTTTAGTCCGGAATGACGTTAAACTACTATCATTAACTACCATTTGTGTGATCAATGTGTTAATATTTTAGAAGTTCAATCCGATAGAAATTTGGTTTTTGTATTTTTAGAAATTTTTGTTACCATGCGTTTATTGAATTATTAATCATTTAATTAATTCTAAAGGTGAAGCTTAAATTTTAATTGGCTCCATTAAAATTTTATTTTCATTTAAATAGGTTTTGAAAGTATTTTACTTAAAATTTACTTGGAAATTCTTTTCTTTCGTAAAATATTCATTTTTATTTTTGAACTTGGAAACGTATTTTTGCTACTAACCAATAAAACTTACTTTTTGCATACCATCTGGTGGCAATGATTTAATAAATCATGCACGTAAAGGTGCGGATGGTCTCTACATTTGTAAGTAATTAATTCTAGGTGACGGGAACCGTTGGGCACATCATTACAAGATATCATTGGCACATGTGGCATGACAGATGATGGTACTTGAAAGTCATGCTTTGGACAATAAAGGTTATACAATTTTCTTCTCTTGTTACGTATATATAGCAAAATCACATTTTTAAATGATACGTAAATTTATTAACTATTTTTAAGACCCTAATACTTTGTATGAAAAAACAATATTTTAAATTTAATTGTGGGAAAAAAACATTTATAAATGAATAGGTAATAAAAAAATTTGTTTTATATAGAAACTTGATTTGTAATAATTTCTTAATTATTTTAGATATAACCTTTTTTCCCATGATATTTATAGACTATTTTTTTTCATGGGTAATAACCTTTTTTTATTATATTCAATTAATTGTAAATATATAAAATTACATTATTTTTATTTATTCAAATGCTTTAATGATAAAACTTCTACTTTAAACATTATTATAATTTTATTTTCCATATTAATTTGTGCTAAATTTTTTAATATTGAACTTGTTGTTGCAATATCATTCTTAATTACAGTCAGTTTCACTTCATGAGCAACAATAAAAAGCTTTTTTTATTGAGAATAAATGCATTAATTTTAATTTCTTAATAACATATTTTTCATCTTTTTCATGATATCTTTCGTAGTAAGTATTAAATTAAAAATAGTTGAATTAAAAGAAAGAGTGTACATGAAATTTTGGTCCCTCTCTCTGACATGATTAATAACATCATAATTATATTTCTGTTTTTAATTAATTTCTTGAGCACTTTTAAAATTTCAGGTTCAAATTTATATAACGTCTTATTCGTATTTATTTTTAAATGTATTTCTTTTAAAATGATAATAAATATTATATGAAATGGAAAACGACTTGAGAATACATTTAATCAGGTGCCGATACCTTTTTTTTTATTTAATATCAAATCAGATAAATTTATTATATTTTTATGTGATACAAATAACCTGGAGTTACGAGAGATAATGTGCTTTAATATTTAGTGATGATCAAGTATATTATCTAAAGAAAAAAAATTGGGTATCGGAAAGAACGACGTAAATTTTAGTATCAAAAATATGGTATTATCAATAGATTCGTTAATTTACATGTTCTTCTCTTATTAAGTTATCCTAAACTAAAGTCTAAAGTGAAATAAAAATTTAATTAAATGGAAATTTACTAGAAGAGCTAAATAGAATTTTCGAGATTAAAACACATAGTTTCCAGACAAGTTCCCATATAATACCTGAAGAATTATAATTGTGAGAATTAGTGTTGATTTTTAATAAAGAAATCTTTAGTAATTATAATTAACTTAATTAACTTGTTCAACAGATGATCAAAATATTAACAATTTTTAAAAGCTATATATTGAGGTCCTCTTTTGGCTAAATAAAAATTAAATTAATTTACTACGATAGACTATTTATTTTTATACAAAGGCTTTACAAAGATGTCCGTCGCTCAAAAATTGAGATTGGCTCATTTAGTCACACTTGTGTGTCCCAGACTTAACAAATAAAAATAAATTAATCACCTCAAATTCAAGTCTGAGCGATAACAAATCACTCTTTAATTTTAATTCCTCAAGAAATTTTCTTTCATTTTTATTTTATTATGTAAATCTTCAATTTTTATTACATGAAAACTGCCGTACATCAAATTCACTAATATTATTGTCAATTAAGTTATTAATCTTTTTATTTTCAATAAATTCACCTAATAAATATTTCACTTGTTCAATTACCAAATTTTCTAAAAGATTTGTATCTTACCATATTATTGAATTTTATGTTTTATTTAAATGAAAAATAATATCCATTGATTACCCTATAATTTATATTAACTTTTCTATTTATGCTAACTAGGATATTGTAAACTTCATTTACCGTTCATCTAATTTTTCTAAGTATTGATAAAAGAATTTCCACTCTATATTAGGCCACACAAATTCAATTTTTCGGTTCACGTAACATTGAAATTTAAAATTGACCTGGGACCGGGGTTTATTGTTTATTAACAGTTAGTTTATATATAAAATCGGGACATCTGACTGGTTGGATTTTAAAGGGGAGGGTAATTAAAGAATTTATTTTCGCTCCATAAGTTCTCAGCCACGTGATAAACTTATCCGCCAATAAAATTACGTATTGATCACATGATAAACTTTTTATTCCTCTCTGAAATAAAATAAATAAATAAATAAATGATAAACTTTTTATATATAAACTTTAATTTGAAAAAGTGACCCGACCGGGTGAAGTGAACCAAAAAATCGAATTTGTGTGGCCTTATATAAAATAAGTCCTCACGATTTGCAATTAATCAAATTTTAATATTGCTTAAAATATTAATTCACCTAACTTCCATATTAATTCTATACCGACAGAATTAAGTAAAATTACAAAATGTATGTAACACAATAACGTGCACTTGTACTTCCAACATTTCATTCAAAAAGATGCACCATCATCCAATTCAAATGTAAAAGTTAGTACGATAATATGTAGTTGTATGGGTTAAATATCACGCATATACCATACAGATCTACATTGCTTATTATCAAATAAGGAAAGACCTAGCCGATCTATTGTGTACGCGTGACTTGTTTATAAATGATGTTTAACCAAATAAATAAAAATAAAAAATAGCCAATTATTGTGTTACCTGTTACATACCGACAGAGTTAAGTAAAATTATATATAATCAAAATGTATAATAAAATTTTTTCTTACTTCTTTTTGTAATAAAAAATATGGAAGGAAGTTCAAGTCAGGTAAATTATTTTTAAACAATATAAAATTTAATTAATTGCATATCATTAAAACTAACATTATATAATAACAGAGTAGAAATTCTTCTACCAATACTGCTTCTGGTAGCTTAGAAAATAACGACTCTGTTTCATATAAAACGATTCTGTATGAAAATGTGTCCAACAATCGTATCCTTCTTAAATTAGAAGAGGATGGACTCATTACTCCAGATGACAAAGTAGAAGAACTTCTAAAAAATCTAACTAAACCAAGTTATTTGTATGCACTTAAATTACTTTTTGAAAATTTACAAAATGAGTTTTTATTTCAATCCTTAATAAATTCGTTAGAAACTCTAATCGATCCCACTCCATTTAATTATTATACAAAAGAAAGTATGGCTAGACTAGAGTTACATTTAAGAACTTGGGTGACAGTCTTAGAACGAATTTGTTTTTCACCAATAGTACTTAGTAAAGAACTTCGAGATAAAGTTTATAATTCTTTAGCAAAATTTGCAGAAATTCATCGTAAAACAACTCAGGTTATCGAAATAGGACTTGATAATAATTTTAGGTCAAATTTTAATCAATTCAATCAACAAAACAATAATCAAGATGAACAAATTATTAAAAAGCGTAATTATAATATTGATTTTTTATTAATCCATTTACGAGATACTCTTCATAGTTTACGTGATGATGAAACTTGGTTTCAAGAAATTATACGAAGAATTAGAGACTTGCTTAAGACTGCATTGAATATTACACCAGGAATTCTGACAATAGCAGGAGTCAATCTTCCAAATGATTGTTCAATCTTATCAATACTTACTCAAATACGTCAAAGTTTAAGTTTTAAATATCCTGTAGCATCTTATTATGTAGATTGAGAATTATGTTAATAATTCAACATAATCTTTTCATTTGGTCTGGAAGTTCTGAAAAGATTATAAGTAAAAAATTTGGAGAATTGGTATTAATGGAATATATTTGGAGCTTTTTGGAAAGAGAATGGGTTGATGCTGCGGACAAATCTATTTTAGATTCTCAAACAAAATTTGATGAAGTATCAAATAAAGTCGCTAAAGCTTTAAAAAATACTGGAGGTTTTTTAAATGAACTTGCTGGAAATGAACCTATAGCACTACCACATACTTTATGGTTTGGAATATTAGATCTTGCCCAAAATCTTATCCAAAGATCATCTCTAATAGCAACATATGGTCTTTGTTATTATTTAGCAATTGAATCACTTAATAGAGCACCAAGCAGTTTTATCCAATTTAAATCTATTGAATTATTATTACATTTATATAATATTGATAATAAAGTGTTTTCAATGATTGAAATTGATTTTGATCAATACACGCAAAAATTAAGTGAAAATAATTTGGAAGATTCTTTAGAAAAATTTCGAAATTTATTAACTTTTGTTAAAGAGAAATACCTTGAAGATTTAAAAATTCTAAGTAATAATACTGGAAAAGGAAAAGAAGGAAAAGGAAAAAACTTAAATCAAAATTCATATTTAAAGAAAGAACAAATATCAAATTCTAACATTTTAGATGTTATAGCAGATGAAATTACTTGTCCAATTAGTAGTGAACCAACAGATCAATTATGTATTTTAAAATGCCAACATATGTTAGCATTAAGCAATTTAAAAAAATTAAAGCAAAAAATATGTCCTAATTGTCGAGAAAAAATTGAAGATAATGATATTAGATATTTACCACAAAATTCAATTTATAAAAATTTATATACAAAATTTTTGAATCTGGACATATTTTACCTTCAATTGAATTAGAAAATTCCGATCAATCATATGATAGTGATGATTCAGATAATTCGGAAGTTGAACTCATATTAACTAAAAAAAAGAAATTTATGAATTCAATTATTAAATTAAATTCAAAAATATCATCCCCAATACTTTCAAGAATTACAAAAAAACAACATCCAACATATCAAAATATTATAAAAGAAATAAATGAAAAAAATTATGAAAAAGCTGAATCTTTATGCAAAGAATTTATAAATTTTTTTCCTAAAAGTTATTCTTTAAGATGTATTTTAGCGTATATTTATAGATGTCTTAACGATTATGAACAAGCATACTTATTTTTAAAAGAAGCTATTGATTTAAATCCCAAAAGACCAGTTGCTTATTTTATTTGTGGAGAAATGTTTTTTAGACAAAATAAATATGATGAAGCAATAGATAATTTAAATATGTCAATAAATCAAAAAGCAAAAATAAATAACTTATATATATTACTCGGAAATAGTTATTTATTACGTAATGATTATACAGCAGCTATAGAAAATTATAATATTGCATTAAAAAAATGATCCAAATAATTATTTATGCCTTAAAAATTGTGCATACACTTATGAAAAAAAAGGAGATAATTTAAATTTAAATACTTTAAATTTATTAGATAAATTATTAAATCTCAATAAGGAGGATTCTTTGGTTTTATGTTATTATGGAGAAATTTTATATAATATGACACAATATAGAAAAGCTATATCATACTTTACAAAAGCTTATACTATAGATCCAGAAAACATTCATAACTTGAATAGGAGAGCTATTACATACTATATTATTAAAGAATATGACAAAGTATTATCAGATCTTGATAAAATTATACAATTAGATCCATTAAATAGTTCAGCATATTATCTTAAAAGTTTAACATATTATACAAAGAATGATATTAATAATGCTAAAATATCATTTAAAAAGTGTGCAGAATTATTGAATCCTGATAATATTTTAGCGAAGATTCAGTCATTTCATCTAGAATACTTACTAAATAAAAATAGTTCTAAAGATTTAAACAATATATTAACAAAAATCACAAAAATCAATCAAATTCTTAATAATCGTAATATTTATGAAAGTAATTTACTACATTTCGTTAAATGCAAAATTTATATTGAATTAAAAAAGTATAGTGAAACAAAACTAGCTTTAAATAATATACAGAACTTGGCATTTATTAGTTATTTTATACAAGATCATCCAGACTTTAGGTCATATTTATATGAAGTTTATGTAATTTACCAAAAGAATTTTACCTATATTGGAATTGTCAACAAAAATGATAATGAACTTATCAATGTCGATGAAGTTGGTAAATATATGTATATGTATAAAGGTAAGAAAATTATTCAAATCAATTATTATTTTCTAGTTAAGTTAATTGTTGATTAATATCTTAAACTCATTAGAACATGGAGTATATTTTGTTTCAAATCTTACAAATTTGAATGGGGATCTTCGTCAATTTAAAGAAAGTGATATAAGCAGGTAAAGTCTACTCATAATAATGCTTTAAGTCAAATTGTCTTAAATACAAATTAATCATAATTTAAAATTGAAGTTTATCAGGAAAGGTAATATCTTCTAAAAACGAAAATCTTTGTTTGGATTTGCCTTTGATAAATAGTAAATATAATACGTATTATATTTGTAAAATGAATGTTAAAAAAATATTATCCAAGGATTGCTTCATAAAATTTATTGATCGCGTAAGTTAATTAATTAAATTTCTATTATTTTATTTAATTTTAATTTAATATTAACTTAATTATAGAATTATCAAGAAGATTATATGTTAAAACATGAAGATGTATCAAAACTTGAGGGGTTAGGTTGGATAGAATATCGGATTTCAATAAGAACTTCAAAACTTTCAATTGAAATAAATTCTATTGAAATGGTATGTTCCTATTTACTTATTCAAATTAATTTCCTTTCAGAACAAAATATAATATTATTTTTGTTTCACATAGCAAATAGAATATATTCGACATGACTATTATGTAAACACAATAACTTACATTCCTGACATGAGTTTTATGAGTTATTTGTTACCAGATTATCACAAATTTTTCTCAAATGTTCCAGAAACTTTCAAAGATAAGTATTTTTCAAGAAAAGAAATGGAAAATTTACTTGATTTAAAATATATCCTTAACAACTTATAATCATTTACTTTTCTTAAATTGCCACTTTGTTTTATTCAACATATTTTGAAAATTTTTTACAATTTAACCATTTTATCTATAAAAGAAATCTTTCGTTTCAGGAATTTTTTATTGAAAAATATACATGTTGGAAATTTACTATCTACTCCTGGGAAAATATACAAAAATTTTGTATGGTGTAGGATACTTCATAAAATGTTAGTAACTCCACTTTATAGCAAGTGATAGAATATTATGTAAAACGTTTATTCAAATTTTTAACTAGAATATAACAAGATTATTAGTTAAATCTAGCAGCCAATGTTTTATTATTTACGACAAACATCACTAAAACAAAATGTATTGCATATTATTTTATTTGATATAATAAATTTTATTTAACAAATTATAAAATGTATATTTTAATCTTTATTTTCTTTTAGGAATTTAGATCTGCTATAGTAAAATGCTTCAACATTTAAATTCCATTGAATGTTTTAATTTCAATAATTTCATTAATATATGATCTATTTAAAGGTGAATTATCTCAACATTTTATCATTAAATCAGTATTAAATCTAAATTAGATTTGGAGTTCCTTTAATATCGAAAAATTCATTACGTGATAATAATATATCGTATTTTCAGTGGTATAACACTATAATTTGAATTTTTATTTTTTTCTTCAAAAGATTCTGAAAAATTCTTATAAAACGTTTTCCACTATGAAAATCGCGATGTACGTATCCTAACTGCTAATATATAATAATAATATGGAAATTGTCCAACCAATCAGTTTCTAATCAAGCTGAAAATATTAATGCAACACAGATTTTTAATGAAGCACAAAGGTTTGTATTACCATAAAATTTGAATTATAAAAAATGATTGTATTGCATTTCTGTATTTTACTGAATGGTTTCTTCTTTTTATAATATTTGATTTGAGGTTAATATTGCTTATATTTCAGGATCAATTTTAGTAAAAGGATAAAAAATATTAAATATTTTTTTTTTTGCCAGGCTAAAGAAGGATTTATATATCATTGCATATTGTACTCGGTAATAAATATTTTATATAGTGAACTTTAGATGGTACCACAACCCTACCTTATATAAATTTTCTGGATAAATGATCTTTCTAGTTTTCATTCCAAAAAAAAAGACTCCTCGAGATATGTGATCAATTTTCTAAAAAAATTTTTATGGGGCTAGACGGCTAGTAGAGAGCATAGTGGGCTTTGGTAGATAGAAAAGATATAGCATCTATTTTATATTCAGTCTATAACTCCATATATTTGTATATTTTAAATAAAATATACAGTATGTATCATAATTTAAATAAAAATGCATATTGCTAAAAAAGAAGTAATAAAATTTCTAAACTGCTAAAAAACAAACGAGATCGTACCAATAATTATGTTACACAAACAATTTGTTAACTCCATTTTAACCTTCAATTCGCCACCACCCTAATTATGAGCAGACTATAGAGGATATAGAGTGGGCTAACTATAAACTTATCGTCAATTAACTTTTAATTTATATAGGGAGAGTATAATGTTTATCTTTTTTGATGCACGATAAAATAATTTATTCATTAACTAATTTTATTTATATTCCATACAAAAAAGTTTTTTATTACGGAAGGAACTAATAAAATTATGTAAGAACGTAATATATAAATTGCATCTATTTAATGTCATAAGAAAAGTAACATTTATTGGAATCTGATATGGTTAGTGCACTGAAGAAAAATACTGCATTAAAAGTATTTCCTTTGATGTAATACTAACAAGTTGGTTCAATCCATTATATGGATAAAAATTTAGGAGAAAATAAAAAGCCTTAAAATGATTTTTGATAGTAGATGAACAAATGTCCTTATTATTTTATCACTATTCCAACGAATAGTTGATTTGTTAATAATGGTTGATGATAACAAATGTAAGATGCTGAATTACAATTACCTTACACATTAAAATGGTTTTATTTAAAATGTTTCGACTTAATTATTGTAGCAGGTCATTGAGTCACTTTGAGATTTCGATAACAAAAATGTAACATAAAATGTGAAAAATTTAAGAACTATTACTTACGACAATTGCAATGTGCAAAGCATTTCCCGCAACTTTCACAAGCTTCTTTATATTTTATAGCGCCTTCACCACATCTCGTGACACAGTGACAACTATCTCCATATGTCTTGCCAGTACTTCCGCAGCAAACGCAACCTAATAATGAATGAATTTTATTAGTCCATAGTCTACGCATAGGAGAGTATAATATTAGGCAAGTTAAAAATCATATTATAATCTCAAGTGACTCAATGACCAATTTACTTACACATTATTTATATAATTCGTAAAGGGAGGAGAACACTGCCGCTTTAAATATTATTTTTTAGATGAATAAATCAAAGGTTGGACTTGCATAATTATTCCACAATGATCTACTAAAGGCGTTAAGTTGTCCACATAGATGACGTAATTTTCATTTGAATAACACAGCCACATTCCTTTAGCGGTTAATCTACTGTCTTGGAAAATCTACTTTATCTCTCACAGCCACGTGCGTTCTTTGTTATTCACAATCTAAATTATGAAAACGATTGTAACTGAAAGCCTTGTGAAAATAATTTTTGTAAAAAACTTGTATTTTATACTTATTCGTTAATATTAAACGGTTATTAATAATAATGTAAAGCAAATAAAAACAAATGTTTACACCGTAACTAGACTAGAATGATTTATACAAAAATTATTTTGTTATTTTCTAATAAACCTTTTTTTTTTTTAAACAATTGAAATGTATTGATTACTAATTGGCCTAAATAAGTGTATATTTGGATGTAACATCTGTTGGGAATAACTTGCGTTACAATAATCTGTTTGTATAAACGTAATAATTATTGTATTTACACAATAAGCGACGGACTTCAACGGTTTCCGGTTTGCATTTACGTCATCAAAGCTTTTGACCCATATTTCAAGTTGTTAATTCAAGAGTTCAAGTTGCTCATCTCATAGTACATTTCATACCTATTTTAATTTGGTGTGATGTAACATCTCCTTTACTTCACCCTCGTTAATAAAACAACAATTTTACGACGATTGCGGCTCAAAATAGTAATTCATTGAAATCAACATCTCGCATTTTCACATTATAATTTAAAAGTGCTCTGCCCTTCAATAGTAGACTTTAACATGACGTGATGTAGAAAAACGTGGCAAAAATACTCATTGGTAATAATATGAAATCATGAAACACGTGTTACTATAGAAAATTTTCTTATATAAATACTTTAAGAAATTTCATATAAAACAAATTAACAACTGAAACAACGAATTAATTATTTTATATAACATACTGTACATAAAATCAATCATGCAATTTAAATACTTGATATTGATTTTTGTCTTTACTATTGTTTCAGCGGGTACTAATTATATTACCTGTAAATTACTCCTTTAAGTCGATATAAATCATTCCCCAATAATTATAAGTGAAAGGATTGTTTACATCTTCAACTTTGCATAAGCCATTAACAAAAAATTTTTTCTTACGGAATAAAATCTAAGAGGATTTGCTTTTGGAAGGAAACAAAAATTAAAAGGTTGTATATTTAATGTATCTGATGAAAGATCAAATCCTTTAACAGTTCCAATTGGATAAATTATACGAATTGACAAATATTCTTCTACACAAATTCTGGGAGGATCTGTGTAGTTTACACGAATTATTCGAACGACTATTGTGTTATCTTCAAAACAATCTGTATTTAACACGATTGGTCTTGGAGCGATTACAAGTGGCGGTTCTTTAATTGTAATGGATGATTTTATTGGTGATAGTGTCATTAAAATTATTGATAAAATTATAAAATGAAAGACATGATTTAATTTTATTTTGAATTTTTTTTATTGGAATAAAATGAGCAAGAAATAATTAAACCTTTTTTTTTTTAAAAAAAAAGGAAAAGATGAACTATTATTCTTATTATTCTCAAAAATTATATGCACGTTTCTATTAAACAGAAGTAGTAATGAATACTGCTGATTTCATTTTATTATGCATAGGACTTACTTCTTTTTTACATTCAAAAACTTCAGATAGTCTTTAAGTCGTTCACGGCAATTTGTGATCTTTGAATAAGTAAATTCAATTATTAAATTCTTTGTCAATCCATTGTAAATTTGTCTCCGTTTGACTTTTTCGGAATCTTTGAATGAACTCTTTTTTATTGCGTGTTCCAATTATTTCTACTCCGCTATATTTGAAATTTTTCATGAAAACAAATTTACTAGTAAATCAACTACTAAAATTTACTTAATTTATATAAAATAAAGAAGTTTTTATATTTATTTACACGTTCTTATACATATAATAATTTTATTTGTATCAACGAAAGTTTTCCCCCTTTCTGCATTAGATTAATAATAATTTTGAAAAGTAACATACTATGATTTTTTTTTATTAAAAAATTTACATATAAATAATTTATAGATAATTTATCCAAAAATTATTGACAATAAATAATATCCTTGCAAAAACTTGTTTTCAGTAACTGCGTTGTAATTGTCACTGTACTACATATTTAAGAAATTAAGTTTCAGCTGTAACGATAATAACTTTCATATTGTGCAATGTCATAATATATTTATTAAATAAATAAGACTGATACATTTGATAACTTATATAATACTTAATAATAAACAATCAAAAATTCAATTATGCGATTGATTATTGTTATATGAGTACGATTATGTATAGGTAAATATATTTGACCATTGATGAATAAGTATAAGATTACTTTTTTATTATTATATAATATACAGCACATATTGTAACGTGTATTACCTACTCTTTTTAATCAAAGAAAAGTCAAAAGCGCCGTCATAAAAAATACTGTACGATAATTAATATTATTTTTTTTAATTTCTTTTTAAGTTTCCTGCAAAATTATTTCTAAAATGAAAATCATTTAATATTAATTAATATGAATAACCACCATGTAGACTCGCATCAATTTTATAATCGCGTCATTCGTGAAAATAATAATTTACAAGTATATTTTCGTAGATCAAATTAATGCTGGCCGGACTTACAATAGTGCAGGCTGAACTTAATAACCACATCACGTGAATGACGTGATATTACATAGATTTAAAAGTATTGAAATTTATTCCTCACTTTCAACAACTAGTATAAAGAATACAAGAAAATCGATAAATAAATAAATATATATAAATATATAAAATATTGTTATTTAACAGAGACTTAGCTTAGATTGACTTGATTAGCGAGACCTGATAATAAATTTGATGGAATGATTAATTTTATTCCTAAATTTGATTTTTTTTATTTGAGATAAATGACAATGAATATGCTTACTAAATAAAATATTATAATATGAAAAGTATGTATAATATATTAAGTAATATAATATTAGGTACATTTAGTTTAATTACCGTGTCAAATTTTATCGAAATATTTTATTTACATCGGTCAAATGTTGCACTAGTACTTGGTTTTAACTTTTTACCAACTTCCGGCATCACGTTTCAGTCGTTTCACGTTTAAATGAATATTGTGGTTCTGCACCCGTGTTAATAATGAATTAAATTATTTTTGAAGAATTCGTTTTAATAATTAATATTAATATTAATAACAAAAGAAAAATATATATATATTATTTTACAAAGATAGAAATCAACAGTAAATATTTTATTCCGGAATTATTGTTCATGAATTTGTTTATAAGATCATTTTATCTTTTTTCTCAAATTAGAAATTTCTTCGATAATAACGCGTATTTTAAACTATTTTACTATTATATTTTTTCAATGAAGGCAAAGTATTGTCACGTTTTACTACATTGCTTAAATAAAATAATATCCATGATTATTTCGAACCGTAATTCCGTAAAAATTGTTGTATTGCGTGTAAATTTATAGACACAAGCAATAATACAAACGTCAACATGCGCTTATGCTGATCATTTTGAACTAGCAACAAATTATTAAGTAAACATATATATAAAAAGAGTTTAATACGTCAGGGCAGTGTCAGGGCAGTAAAATATTTTATATGATTTATAACATACATTTAACATTTTGAATTTTAAAATTAAAGTTTCCAATCTAGTCTTCTGGCGCCTGCGTCACGTTTTTCAAGGTTCGACCCACGCTTCCAGATCTGCGTCACGTTTAATCTACGCTTCCGGGTTGCGTCAAATCAGAATGATTAATCTTGTCAGTTTTTTTTTTTGACCGCGCTCAAATTCTGATTCGAGTACAAGCTTTAAGTTGATTATATCATAGATTAAATTTTTATATCCTTATATATAGTATATATAATTCTATAAATACAGTATATTCAAAGTCAAAAATGAGTAAAAAAAATAGCTTTATTTTCAAATAAATATATATCTTTTAATTTAAATAAACATTAATATTCCTATAATTTTGAGTGAAGCTCTTTTTTGACTTGAAACACTTCATAATCATCAATACCAAGAATATTTGGAATATTAATATCAGCGTAAGATTTTGGATTAGAATAACATATTCCATATTGCATAGATAAATATAAATCATTATCAAAGTATGGTCCATAATTTGGATCACTTATTACAGTACCATTATTGTTAATTGGTCTACTAATTATACCTGAACCAACATTTCTATTATCATTAAATGAAAATAAAAAACTATCTGGAGTACTGCTTCGTCCACTCCAACCAAAGTTGCTTCGTAAACCCCAATCAAGGGGATTATAACCTCCAACCAATTTATTCGAATTTTTAATTTTTATAACTGTAATAGTTGCTCCTTTGTTATCACATTTATTATGAAATGGTTTAGAACCAAAACTATCACGACTACCACGTAAAATGAGTTTAAATTCATAAATATTATTACTATTATACCTATTATTACCTTTTCTTTCAATCCAATTTGCAAAAAGTACAATATGTTCTTTATTAATAAATGAAGAATCAACTGTGCCTGTGATAATTAATGAAGAATCAATATCCCTTCTTAAACGTCTTTTCGAATATTTATTGAGTAATGATTTATGAGTCATATGAAATCGTATAATATCATCTCGTGATTCTTTAGATAAAATTTGTTCATAAGGTTTAACTTTATTAAAATAATCTTCTGAAGATATATCATAAAATCTAATTAATGGTATAAAATTATAAATGATTTTTTCAAAAATATTAAATTTTTCTTGATTCCATTTCGAAACGTCTTCATCAAGAATTTCATCTTTCGCTAATCCCCATTTAATTAAATTTTCCCAAATTTTAATTTCATCAATTTCATTTAAAATTAAATCATCTTGTTTCAAGATAATCTCCAATAGAGAAGCTGATAAATTAATAAACTTAACCGAATTAAATAAAATATTAGGATCTGAATAAATATTTTTTAAACATAATTCTCGTATATTACTATTAAAGACTTTATGAGAATTAATTATTTGAAGAAATTCAATCGGATCATTTTGTAAGAATTTTTTACGATGTTCAATAAGGTAATCTTCGGCAAGTTTAATTAATTGATTCAATTTTAATTCGTCAAAAGCGATCATCATGTTTAAAATTTCAGCACCAGTTTTATTTATCATATTAATATGTCCAGTATAAAAATACCTATATTTAAAAAAAATATTAAATTAATATAAAAAAGTTATGAAAATATCAGTATAATTTTATAATGATATAATGTATAATTAATTACGTACGTGATGATAACATCGAAAGCTTGAGGAGTAATATTTGGCATATCAATTATATATTTCCCATCAATTTTAATAGTATCATTTGCAGAAATGATCGAATTAAAATAATTGGATCTACAACATAGAAAACCAGAATGCGCATAAAATTCCTTAGTATCCGATTCTTTCCCGACTTGAATAATAACATCATAATTAGTTTCAGTTTTAAGCAATTTTTCAAGCGCTTTCAAAACTTCGGAATCAAATTTATATGACATATTTATTATATTTATTGAACAGGAAAAAATAGAACGGACTAAATTTAACGTAAAAAAAGTAAAATAAGGAGTAAGACAAAGCTTCTTTTTTGAAATCCCCCGTAAATTTATAGTTTCTCAAATAAGAAAAATTAAAAATGAAAAAAAGAAAAATTTATCTTATTATGGTTAGTACGATTTCTATATTGGTCATTAAATGAACATTGGCATATCAACCGCAGTTAAATCGTACCGCCGCAGTGCATTATTAATCACATGTTACGGTTGGAGATCTGTGATGATTTTAAAAAACTTCTTAATCATGTGATAAATTTTTTTAATATTCGTTAGTTTAATACTCGTATGTTTTTTAAAAAATATATCATAATAGCAGCATGTAAAAAGTCGTAGACGACACTTTAAATTTTATTTTATCTGGAAATAAACTTAAAAATACACATACAGTCATTACATATAATTTTAGATAGTTTTGCTCCAAAATTTTCGGAGACCGTCCATTTGCGATCAGATTTTTTTCAAATTACAAAAATATTTTTATATATACAAGTATAAAATTTTTAATAACAATCATTTTACAATATAATAATTTTTATAAAATAATTTTTTTTTAAAAAAATAAACGAATTATTTAAATTACAAACTTAGAATATATCATGCAAAAATATATCGAATATTTTTTTGTATCGATATTATTACCTTAAATCTTTTAAGTGTTTAAATAATTCAAAATAAAAAACACACATATATATATATGTACGTCCAAAAATATTATACCTCTTAATTATTTTCAATTTAAATATCTAAAAAAAATAACGATAAAAAAATAATTATTAATATTAATTAATTAAAAATACAGTAAATACAGTAAATACGGTAAATACGGTATAATGTAAAGTATACTTTACCATCTGGAAAATCCGAAATATGCAAATTGAATTGGGAAGTATAATAAGCTATAAAATTATAACACGTAAAGATACAGTATATTAGTTATATTTCGTTATATTTAAAAATAATAGAATATTTGATAATTACCATCCTGTTCTTCTATTAAATTAAAAAAAAAAATAATAATTTTTAATTAATAATTATTTAATAATAAATAACTTCAAAAATCATAATATTATTTATTACCTTCTGTGGCATTTTTTGGTTGAGGTACATCATGAAATGTATAAAGTTTACTATTGCTAAAAACCATTTCATTTCCAGAAAAAGATTTTTTATCGATATGAAGAGTTTCCCAATGATCACTATTTTCATGAATTGATTTATTAATATTTTCAACCCTTTCCCAAAGTGTATGAATATCAGGTCTTTTTTCTGGATTTGCATCCCAACATTCTTCCATTAACTTTTTAACTATTGAAGGGGTTCCCGGTAATATTTTTGGTCTCATCCCATTAACGACATTAAACGCAAGATCATATCCATGTTTAATATTAGAAAATGGCGGTTGTTCTGATAAAACTTCCCACATAAGTATTGCAACTGAATAAATATCTGATTTAAAAGTATATTTATTTTTAAAAATTACTTCTGGAGCTATATAAGGAAGATTTCCATATACGCTCTTTAATGGTTTATGAGTTGGTCCACAAAATCCAAGATCACTAATATACCAATCATTCCTTTCTTTTGAATATAATATATTCCCAGAATGTAAATCTCTATGAACTGAATTTTCTTCATGAATTCTACAAAGTGCTTTAACTATTTCAAAAATAATTTGAATTTTCGTTTTCCAATTAATTTGATTTCGATTTTGTCGTAAATATCTTCTTAAATCTACATCCATATAATTCATGACGAGCATAAATTTATTATCTGGACCTTTTGTTAAACCATAACACTGTACGATACTACCCCATTTATTACTAATAAATAAATGTGTTGTCGCCTATTAATTAATAAGTATATTTAAATTAAATTAACGTTATATCGTTACATTTAAAAATTTAAAAGAAATTTTTCAATTATTACCTCTTCAAGCCAAGTCCTATCTGCGTCTTCAACGTTTTCTAATTTTTTAAGTACTACTTTACATTTACCAGCTCTCTTCAATTTTCTTTCTTTAATATCCCATTCTTTATAACCTCCTTCTTCCCAATCTGCTGTATAAATATCTGAACATCCTCCTTTAGCTAAAAATTGAAGATTTATAAATTTATCATATGGTATCCATTCAACTATCATATATGGTATTAATGAAGATTCTTGACATTTTTTTAATAAATCATCAATGGTATTATTTCCAGATGTCCAATCTGAAAATCGTGATTTTAAATATTTTCTAACACAAAATTCGCAATATAATGTTGCCAAACATTCTTCTTGACAATTCTCACATGTTCGTTTAACCCTATCATCATTCTCAACAACTTTAAAATAATCATAATCACCATCAAACCTTTTTATTACTTCAATTTTTTCTTCTTCTGTAAGAGTTTCATCTTTAAGAACAAATTCTTTTATATCTCTAAACCTTATGTGCATATTATCATTTTGTATTAAAGCGTATGCTTTGTCATACGCAGCATTCATAACTTCTCTACGAATAGTAGCCATTTTTTATATTTATTTATTTATTTTTACATATGGATTTTTTTTTTTTTTTTTTAAAAAATTTATT